GGCCCCGCTTGGTACGGGACTGTTCCCCTCTCCGGCAGCGCTCCTCTCGGCCCCGCTTGGTACGGGACTGTTCCCCTCTCCTCTCGGCTCCTCTCTGCCCCGCTTGGTACGGGACTGTTCTCCTCTCTGCTGTTCTCCTCCCGGCCCCGCTTGGTACGGGACTGTTCCCCTCTCCGGCTGCTCTCCTCTAGGCCCCGCTTGGTACGGGACTGTTCCCCTCTCCGGCTGCTCTCCTCTCGGCTCCCGCCTTCCCTCGGCCCCCCGGGCACAGCCGCAGGTCTGGGGGGCCATTCTTGCGCCCGAGGTTGTGGGCGCTTCCAGCCCCGCATTGGTGGCCTTGAAACCTTCACGGCCCGAGGAGGCTGGCAAGGCAGGTTTGGTACCCGGCGCGTGGGTTGTGGTTTAGAGGAGATAAAATACAGGCTGCAGAAACACACTTCTGAACCCTGGACCGTACTTGGGCACCCAGAACCTTGGCGGGCTTTTGTTTTTCTTTATCTAATAGAAAGGATTACTGTTTCCAGAGGGCTCTTTTTGGTCAAAACTATCTGRAAATTGAAACTGAAACTCAGGAAAGGTGAGTTTTAGAAATGTAGTAGGGTTTCTCTTCCCCTGGAAGTTAAACTCTTCCTCGCAGAAGCAAGGAATTGAGTCGAACTCTGGGGTGGTTTTCAGAGGATTGTCAGAGGAGAAGGTGACCACAGTAGGAAGCCATGGCCAGGTGAGACCATTTTCAGTTCTTCTGGGTTTGATAGAATAGGTTTGTGCTGGATTGTGTATGTGAGAACCTCTAAGTGAAACACAGAGTGCTGTACAGAGAGGGAACCGAGCTGGTGTTGACTCAACACTGCAGCCACATGGAAGGGACTGTTGGGATATACAATGATTCAGGGCTTGTTTGAGCWATGGAAAACTGAGCTTCCTTGCATCCTGGTAGTTAAAGCTCCAAAGTTTGTTTTTGCAAGGCTTGTAATKGTAAAGCTGCATTTGTACCCATATTGAACTTGGCTACTTAATCTTTAGTAATTTGCTATTTCCAGGTGAAGCCAAGTTGGGAGTTTTTCACTTGTGGCTGTGTGAAACATTTGATGCCGATCAGCTGTTTTGTCTCATAGGTGACTGGATTTCAGCCCTGGCAGAAGATGTGTTTGCCCCTTGGGAATGTATTTAAGAAATACATGGGAAATAAAGCTGCTTCCTTTTGGCTAAGCAGATGGGAACCCCAGAATGTTAATGTAGTTGAATGCTTTCTATTATAAGAACTTAAGTTAGCTGTAGAGGTTTCTAAGGTATTCAAGCAGGGTTGACTTAAGTGACTTTTTTTTTGGTTTCTGACTTTGATTTTTCTGACCTGGGGCTGCAACTCTTGGTTCTGGGTGCCTTCCTCAGGGTGAGCATTTTTGGAAGGCAACAACTGAAAAAGAACTTCAGAACAATAAGGACAGTGACCAACATGAGTGACTCTTGAGTTGTTGTGATTAGGTAACATCTAAGCAACCTTGCTCATTCTTACTTGTATTTAGCAAATGCTGCTAACCTTCCCACCAGGCCTATGGAGCCACGAGGGATTGTCAAAGCCTTTCCCAAGAGGAAGAAGGTGAAGGATGACTTGGGGAAAAGTGTCCCTCCAAAGATCCCAAAAGAGGAAGGAAMAGAGAAGAAGGACCAGAACTTACCTGAGGGTAAGTCCTTTGTCACTATGATGCAGGACATAATATTTATACYCAGCTTATTAACTTCAAGCACTGTTCCCCAAAGGCTTTTTCAGRTCCTGAGTGTGTTTTCTCTAGAGGTCATGGCCAGCTTGCTTTAGTGTGTCCTGCTGGAGCCCCCAAAAGACTGCCTGTCAGGGCTGGGGCCATCAAGTCCTGTGTAAGAGATGTGGCCCTGGTGGATTAGGGCACTTCCTCTTGTCACTGTGTCCCTGCCCCTGTGCTTTCCTCAGCAGAATGGCTGAAACCAGTCATTGCCTACGTGCTGCAAGCTGGCATTGGCCAGGCGAGGGCTGAGATCTTCCACAAGCAGATTGTCCAGAATGGGGGTGTTGTATGCAGCCAGCTGTCCTTGGAGGTGACACACGTCATTGTGGCTGAGGACATGGACTGTGATCGCGCCCTCCGGCTCCTCAAATTAACCAAGCTGCGCCCAGGACTGCAACTGGTGAAGGCATCCTGGCTTAGTGCTTGCATTAGAGACCAGAAGCTGCTGAGTACTGCTGGCTATGGTGTCTTTATCCCTCCCAGGTAGGCAAATGCCACATTGCCATTCCTCCTTGCAGTTCTTCTGTCCTAAACTGAGCAGTGCTAAAATTTGATCTCTGCTCCAAATCTTGGACTGCAGCTCCTTGCAGCTCCTGTGAGCATGACTCGAAGTTCTGTGTGGTAGCAAAACATGGAATAGGGCCCGAAAGTACTACCAGGAGTCCTGTTACTTGTTACAGGTGCTAAAGGCATCTCTTCCTGATCCATCAGTGGTAGCAAGAAGTCTCTTAAAAATGCTGAAGATTAAATACTGTTTCTTACTYATTGCAGATGAAAGGTAGAGAGAAAATTGGCAACTAGGCACAAGAGGAAATAAAGAATGGAGCAGCAGGCACAGGTTAGGATCAAAACGTTTTGGCAAAGTTTTGGAGAGAGAGTCTGARAGTGAGGTACGTAGGAGTGGAAGTTGCAGGTCTGCAAGGTAGATGGTAACTGGGGAGTTGAACAAAAACCAGAGTAATTAATCTGTGATCTGAGAGAGTACAATTCATATAGGTTGTTTGGTCCATCCCCAAACATGCAGAAGAATTTCTTGGTCAAACTTCGGGTGGCTGAGAAGTCCTCCTTCTCCTGTACTAAGACATCTGATCCATGGCAGGTACCTGGAGGATGACGAATTCCAGAAAGTACAGCAACAGATCCTGGACAGATCAAAAATCCAGCCCCCAGCAGAGGAAGGAGCGGTGAGACTGAATACYGAATCACAGGCAGAGGATTCCTCACAACATGGCTTGGGCACTCTTGGACAGCAGCAACTGGCTGAGGTGAGGCTTCCCTGCACAGATCCATCTCCTTGTGAACAGATCCTGCATGCTGCTTTTCCTGGCTAAGAGCATCCCTGCAGRGATACAATGTGAGATTTTCTCAGCAAAGGGAAGGTGTTTCAGTGARTTGTGCTGCCAGACTCAGGCTGTAGACATGGTTACTGCATCTCTTCGTCCTTTTTGGGTATAAAGAATAGAAATGGCACGCCTTAAATTGCTGTTCCCATCAGAACATTTCCAGTTGAAGCAGTCCTGGTGCTCTGATCAGGCCAAGGCTCCCTGTRGTTATAATCACCTATGTTCTTTTGAGGAATATTCCCTTTCTGAGAATATCTCCCTTTCAGGAAGCTTCTCTGATATTTCATCCCATGTTTCTGCCGGAGCCATGTGGACCAGTTCTTCACACCTTGGCAAACACCCTGTTCAGACACGTTTTCATAGTGGATCAGGTTACTACCAGAAGGATTGTGGAGATGGTCTTAAAATCTGTGTTGGGTTATTAGTGGCTTCTGCTGTGAGTCAGCTTCTCTGGCTTGCTGTTAGCTTTCTTTCCTTTCTCTGTATTTCTGCTTAAGTTTGCTGAATTCTTCTTGGGCATTGGTGTCATTCAAATCTATCTGTAGCAAAGTTACCTCAGACATCCCCAGCAGCTGCCTTGTGTTGCTGCTGGCATTTGTTTTCCAACAYGGTCCAAAATTTAGCTGCACAAAACCCTGCAAATGACTCTACCTGGCAGCTTACTGAGGGCACAAAAGCCACATTTGTAGATGTTTCAGTAAAATCCCTTGTCTCCAGCTTAGGATTGTGTGACTTGGGGAGAAATGGGATGGGCATTAAAAGCAATACCAACCACTTGAGACCCAGCTACAACARTATAGCTGAAACTTACTTTAGAAGTAGCTTCTTTTTAAGTGCAGTCTTTTCTAGCCTGGGTGGATGTTTTTCTCTAGGAGATGATGCATATACCAGTGTTTCTTACTAAACAGGGACTGATCTGGAAGTTCTGCCTTTGGGTGTAAACTCCTGTGAGGAAATCCTGTTACCAGTCAGACTGTAGCAACCACTTTTTGACGGGCTTCCAAATTCAGTAGTTGTCTGCAAAGCAGGCTCTGTAAGCTATGCCAGTTACTCTCTGTAAGCTCAGGGCTGCCACCCCAGGCTGCCTACCTCCCTCTCAAGTAGCCTGTTGCTACTGTTTGTTTTGCACATGGGGTTGTAAAGAGTCAGTCAGCTTTGCTGACAAAGTGTAGCGAGTCAGGGGTTTAAGAGCTGTCACCTCTGTGACGCTGCTGGCCAAGAGGATGGGAATTGCATCCAGCTCCAGCTGCAGCGTTCTTTTCATCGTGATTGGATAATATGCTCTTTAAATGCTTCTAAGGGGCCTACTGACTTACCTGAGCATTCTGAGGCTTTGTTGCCCTTAGAGAGAAGAGGGAGTTGCATTTCAAGGCAAATTAAACTGGTTTAATCTATCAAATCCTCATCTGACCCAGTTTTCAGAGTTATAAAACAAGATTGCAGAACACATCCCRTCTATTTTGCTGAAAGACTTCAGCTCTGTATCCTGCAGGAATTGTTTCTCCAGACCTCCTACCTCCTCAGCCAGCAGAACCACAGGTTGTCTGCAGAAACTTATAACAGGACATGATGTGCTGCATGTAATTGCTAGACTGATTCCAAGCAATCGTGCACCGCTCAAGAGTTACTTCCACAACACAGAAGCTCTTGGATCTCTGTAGACTCCTGTGTTTATACATCGGGGGAGAGGGGGACCCCAGTGAGCAAAGCAGTCTACAAAGCCTCTGTGCGGCTTTCCACTTCTATCCCCTTTTGTTCATTACCTGAAGCCARGGCTCATTGTTTCTTAAGTCTACACAGAGGCATCCTAATGCTGAGGRTATCAGCAAATGCATACATTGGTTCTTTCTTCTGTCACTGAGGAATGTGGAGTCCTTTGTGTCATTCCTTCCTCCCCCTTTTCTCTTGCAGATAGCCATGGGGAAAATGAGGGGGTTTTAATTCACTGCTTGGTAAAGATTTTGTGTCTGTAAACTGAAAACAAAGTTCAGTGCCTATCTCTTGTCATCTGTATCATCTGAGTCTGAGTGTGAGAGATGGGTCTGTGCTGCCACCAGGCGAGTGAAAGGTTTCCCAGTCGGAGTAGAGAGTCAGGATCTCTGCCAGCTGGGGATTTTGGCATTGTCATACCTTGYTGCTGGCAGCAATTGCTCACTTACTCAGTGTCTTACCTCAGTTACCTTACCTCAGTTAGTTGTCTTACCTCAGTTAGGTCTCAAGGGCTTTGCTGTAGGAGGGGCCTGTGTGCTTGAATCACAGGTGGATAGCAGTATAGTCTGCTGTGCAGTGTGAGATGTACCTGTGTAGCTTGAGGTGTGAGGAGCTGTGGTGTGCATATAAGCAGCCACTTCCAGAGGAGGCAATTGGAGCACAGCGTGCCCGGGAGGGAGGGTGGTTAGYGCTCTGGCTTCCTGTTCTCAGAGGTAGCTTTGCCAAGGGGACATATGACGCATGCACTTATTCTCACAGACCTGCTTTCTGATCTCTCCTTAAAGAAATACTCTGATGATGAAGACAGTGAAGGAGAAGATGCTGGTGTCACCCAGGGAGATCTGGAAGCTTTGATTTCTGGCCACTACCCTGTGAAATYGTCAGAGGAGATCAGTGACAGCTCTTACACAGTGGCCCAGCCTCCCAGCAAGTGGGTTTGTGCCCAGTCTTCCAACACCAAGAAGGAAAATCACAACCAATGCATCACAGAGAAGCTGGAAGTGCTGGGAAAGGCTTACTCTGTCCAGGGGGACAAGTGGAGRGCTCTGGGCTACTACAAAGCAATCAATGCGCTCAAGAGCTACCACAAACCAGTCACTTCCTACCAGGTAAAACACCTTCCCAGGGGGGTAAAACAGGGAGATTGACCTTTGATGGAAGTTGTATAGCAAGCTGGGATTTATTGACCACACACAATGTTTTCAGAACAGCAGAAAAGTGGAAYCTGAACCTTTTAGGGCCAATGCAGGGACATTTTCACCTTCCTCTTCATCATCAACAACTGGCCACCATTCAGGATAATATATGAAACTAACTCGATTTGAGCCTTATGGGCTATGGCAGKCCAGCAGTTCAATCTGTTCATGTTTCAGTCCCATTCTGCAGGCTTGTCTTTTYCCACTTGAATTAATCAGCCACTGTAAGCCTGGACTAGAGAGGAGACCATCAGGCAGAACTAGCCTTTTAGGCTTTACTCATCAAATGATTAGCCAGACTCTGAGTCAGTAGCAGTTCCCCAGCTTGTGTATGATCTTTGCTTTTCCAATAGCAGCTCTGGTTTCTTTCTAGGAAGCCTGTAAAATCCCTGGGATTGGGAAGCGGATGGCAGAGAAGATCCAGGAGATCTTGGAGAGTGGGCACCTGCGCAARCTGGATCACATCAGTGAGAGTGTACCTGTGCTGGAGTTATTTTCCAACATCTGGGGAGCWGGGGCCAAGACAGCTCAGATGTGGTATCAGCAGGTAAGATCAATGTCTTACACAAGAGGCTCTCAGGTTATGGTTTGAAGACTGCTGCTGAGCGTAGGAGAATTATTTTCACAAAGAATTTTTAATTTCCAGTATCTGCAGGATAAGTCTGTTGTTTTTGGGAGGAACTATGAGGTTGGGTCCCATTGTGTGTGTGTTTGGGGAGAAGGGAGTGCACCTGGCTGTAGGTTGAACTTACCTGGAAGTAGTAAAAATGAGGTTGAAATCATTGTGCCAATAGCCCAGCCCACTGGATGGGTTCCTTCTTTAAAAACAGTTTGTCTCCTGAGCATGAGCTAATGAAGACTGGTTTTCTGTAGTGTTTGGTTTGCGACTGTGTTCTTGACTGTCTTAGAGATATGGTTGTAGCCATGCTGTCRGCTTTCCCTCACTGGGATATTGTGGGTGTTGTTCCTTTACCTGCATTATGTGTTTTCTTTTAGGCTGTAGGGACACTGTGCCTTGAGAGCAGCGGCCTTCTGTCAGAGAAGGAGGGGAGATTAGAGGTGTGCATGGGTAGTGGGATTGCCTAAATCCCTTCTTTTAGAARTCAGGCCCTGAAGTATTCTCTACATGTGATCTCAGAAGCTGTGATTTGGCCTGAACTTGAGACAGGCTAAATACAATCTCCCCAAATCTTGGGATGTGAAGAGCAAAGTCTTGGTAGGTGTTTGAATATCAACACATGGTCTGCTCTAGGGTTTCCGGACGCTGGATGACATCCGCACCAAGGCCACTCTGACCAGCCAGCAGGCTGTGGGGTTGAAGCACTACACGGATTTCCTGGAGCGCATGCCTCGGGAGGAAGCTGCAGAAATAGAGCAGACTGTGAGTAGCTGGGCCYCAGGCCCTCAGAGTGCAGTACCTGCTGGGACATGACAGGAAGGTGCACGCTGTGAAAATGGCCTTTGTGTTGTAGCTGAGCTCTTCAGCCTCTCTTCTGAGTGGGTTTGTGGTTGGGGGACCTTTTTGGGCATGGGCACATAAGGCACCTACTTTGCCCCATTGGAAAGTTCATTCTGAGTGCTTGGCAAGGAGGGGGATACTTCACAGGAGTCAGTTCTACACACTGCTTTGAAAAAAGCTGCATTGACACGGTGGGATAAGCAGGTTCCCAGCTCCTGCCTCTCATCATGGGWTGTCTGCTTTCAGCTAAGATCTCCCTGGTGCTGCTTCTCCAAAGGAAGCTGTAAGCACTCTGTGATCTAGTTGTCAGTGAGAGGATGGAGGGTGGATATCCTCGCTGGGAAGCAAAGGGGATCCACCTGCAAACGAGTGCTGCTTGTTGCAGGATGCTGTGGCACTCCATGACTAWGGGGTGCTAAGCCAGTGTACCCTAATGTGAGCAGAGAGCCTGGGGGACACRCTGTCATTGCTACCCCTGTGCTCTCCAATCACCATGGAAGCAGCAGCCAGTGTGACCCTGTCACTCGGCCACAGGGCCTGGCCACAAAGAATACCCTCCTGCCAGGCTCCTGCTGGGGTGTCAGTCCTGTGTGCTGGATTAGCCRTTTTGGTGGTGAGTGGTCCTTTTCCCAGGCAGGCTGGGCTGAGGAGCTGGCTCTTGGGAGTGGGCCTATTGTTATCTTGATGGGATTACCCTGCTCCCCTCCATACACASGCACACACCTCTGATCCAGGCCCAGGAGAGAGAATGAGGGATTAGTCACTGTCTGTRCTGCCTGTCACAGTGAGATCTGAGGAGCTTTTAGGCTCTCGGGTGGGGCTGTGAGTTTTCTAGAAATCTTCATTTAAAGCCAGAAGGGGGGCAAGAGCACCAGAGGAGGGCTTGCTCYGCATGAGAAAGGCTTGTGGCTTCTTGGAGCACCTTTGGGGCAAAGGTTAATGGGTTTATCTCTTGCTAATGAAGGATGATCCCCAAGAGTGACAAGGGGCTGTGGGCACGGACACTGCCTTGCTGAACCCCAGCCTCTGTGATGGCCTCATCACTGGAAATTGCTGAGCCCCTCATTATTTGCTGCCAGCAGGGTGATTGGCACGATCAGACCAAGAATACTTAAGGCCTGTCCTGGGACTTGGGAGCCTTTCTTAAGCATTTAATGAATGAAGCCATCAGAATTAGCACTGTCTGCACAAATCARGAGCTGAGGTCCAGCCTGGAGAAGACTGTAATAGGGGACATTCCTATTACATGTTTGATTGCTGGCAGCAGCATTTTGGCATCCATTTGGTCTAAAATAGTGGGACAATTGTGCTTTCTCTGGGCCAGGAAGCCCAGCTGTCCTGCAGAGGCAGAGCTCCTGCCAGGAGTGAACTCCGAGGGGTACTCACAGATGTTCTGCTGTGTTAGTTCCTGCTGGGGAGATTTCATGAGCCCATCCCTGTTGGTGAAACAGGACCGGTGACCATCACCTGTTGAACTGATTCTCTTTGTGGGTAGAGCTGGTGAGCCTTGTGCCCATAGGGCAATGGAAAACCTCTTATCTCTCTCTGTCTCAGAAAGCTTGTGCAGTACTTTGTCCCTTCAGCAGTATTGCATCCTTCTGCTTGTCCCAACGCAGTGCTTCCGAGAGTTGATGGCAGGTCACTGTATATTATGGCATTGTGCTGGGTCTTTGCAGCTGAGTGTTTGGAGGCCACCCTGGCTCACTSCTCCCCTGACAGCACACCAACCTTTTTTGGTGGGGCAGTGTGCCATGCCTGCCAAGCGTATGGAGACCCTGGAGATGCAGGACAGGCCTCAAGGCAGGCACAAGATCCTTTGCTGCCTTGATGGAAAGGGCATGAAGAGGCTGGTCTCTGACTCTCATCTCTCTTTCTCGAAGGTCAGACAAGCTGCCCTGGCCCTGAAGCCTGGGCTCGTGTGTGTGGCCTGTGGCTCCTACCGTCGGGGAAAGGCCACCTGTGGAGATGTGGATGTGCTGGTCACTCACCCGGATGGGCACTCTCACCGTGGGGTGTTCAACAAGCTGCTCGACAGCCTCCGCAGGAGCGGTAAGAGGGCGGGGAAGTTKCTCTTAGCATGACCAAGGCAAGGAGGCAGTGAGGTGGAGGGCATTCATTGAAGRATAGGTGATCACTTTTCCCAAGGATGGGGGGTCTTGTTAGTCCTTAAAATGACCACCCCTGGACCTGGCTCTGTTGTAGTGCTGAGAAGGGAATATTGCTGCAGGTCAGCATGTTATCCCTGGGGTCCCACAGTACGCTGTGAGACATCTCTGTTGCTCTGTGTTCAGTGGGGAGTTCAGCACGAAGGTGTCGATCTCTACCATTCCGCTCCTCTTTGCCTGTTCTCTCTGCCCAGGTTTCCTTACAGATGATCTGGTGAGTCAGGAGGACAATGGAGAGCAGAAGAAGTACCTGGGCGTGTGCCGCCTGCCCGGGCCTTCGCAGCGTCACCGCCGGCTTGACATCATCGTGGTGCCGTACCGGGAGTTCGCCTGTGCCCTGCTCTACTTCACGGGCTCGGCTCACTTCAACCGCTCCATGCGCGCCCTGGCCAAGACCAAGGGCATGAGCCTGTCRGAGCACGCGCTCAGCTCGGCCGTGGTGCGAGGCTCAGGGGGTGCCAAGGTGTCRTCTGGCCATACTCTGCCCACTCCCACCGAGAGAGATGTCTTCATTCAGCTGGGGCTGCCTTATCGGGAGCCCTCAGAACGGGACTGGTGACGCTTGGTTGTCATTCTGGGCTTACTGCTGTGCTGCTGTTTTGAAGGGTGCTGATTTCTCCAGTGCTGCTCTGAGGTGCCTGCAGGCATTTCAGCAAACTGGGGCTCCTTGCAAGCATGAGGCCCTGCTGCTGGCACAGCTCTGTGGCTTCCTCAGAGGCTGTGGGCTGGAACCATACTGGAAGTGTTGTTTTGGTGCACCTACCAAAAGGGCTTGCTGCCCATCAGGTACTCTTGCCTTGTTCTCCCCAGCTTTGGAAGACTGGGCTGCAGAGCTTTGTGATCCAGCCCCAGACAGTGCTTGGGAACAAGGGAAGTGGGATGCATCTTCCTCTGTGTCTGAGCACTGGCACTCCAAAATTTCTGTCCTGAGTTGTGAATGAAGGCAGCAGGGGTCTAGCATGGCCCTGCCTTCCCCCTTCTCACTGCTGCTGGCAGCTGCTAGTGCAGGAGTCACAAGGGGTTAACCTGTGCTGTTGCTGTGTCCTTCTGTCTGAGCTGATGTGTCCTTTAGTGGGTCCCACTGCACAGGGCCAGCTGCTGTGACTGCCACCAGGTCAGGTCAGCCTTGAAAGAGACAGAGGGACCTGAGGTGCTGTGCCTGCTTGCTCCCATCCTTGTGTGCTGAGGATCCTCCACATTCACTGAGAGCTCTGGTCTGGCCCAAGAGCTCCTTTCCTCTTGGTGCAGCAAAGCAGCAGAGCTCACAGCTTGGGGAGCTGTGCTCAGGGAAGATTTGAATGTAATGGCAGTGAATGTAACCCAGCAGGGCTGTGTGTCTGTCTGCAGGAGGCATGGAGGCCGAGAGAAATACAAGGAGATAGTGAAGTTCTGATTTGGGCAAAGCAAAGCTTTCCCTTTTTTTTTTTTTTTTTTTTTTTTTTTTTTTTTTTTTTTTTTTTTTTTTTTTTTTTTTTTTTTTTT